CTTGGATGAAAATCTGGGCGTTTTTTAGAGATTTTTTTAGGCCTAAAATATTGATTTTCAAATTTTAGACTTTTTAAGACCCGGCATGAACCCTGATATATATATATATGTAAATTTTAATGAAACCTTAACTAATACTTTATTTTCTTATACTTTCTTTATTATTTGTTGTTGCAGTAAAAAAAAGTGCATTTGATGAGCATCTAATAGATGAGTTTCATTCACATTAATCCAGTGGGTCATGTTGACAACACATGCACCCTCTGACACAGGCTGAAACATGATAGCCCTTTTTCCTTTGTCAGCAAATAAAAATAATTTTAATAATAATTTAAAAACAAATAAATGCTAATTAGGATTGTCTCCCTAAATAAAGACACCAGTTGTGAGTTGACTGATCTGTCAATCTTACGAGGATGCAGGGTCTCAGGGATTATCTGAATATTTCTACCAGTATGAATTGAAATGGAAGAGGACAAACTTCACTCAGTAGATCTCAGTAACATCAGAAGGTGATTCTCATCTTGCATTATTTTAAAGTAAATCATTATTAAGGTAGCCTAAAATAAATCCCTGACATCCTGTTGGTTTCAGTGTTCTGATGCTCTGCCTTCTCCTCACCTGTGCACAAACTCCCTCTGCAGGATCTCGTACGACCCGAGCAGATACCCCCGCTCCATCCCGGAGGCCTACTGCCTGTGTCAGGGCTGCCTGCTCGGCCCGTCCGGGGAGGAGAGCCAGCAACACCGCAGCACTCCGGTCTACGCTCCCTCCGTGGTCCTGAAGAGGACCGGATCCTGTGCCGGAGGACGACACTCCTACTCTGAGATCTACGTGTCCGTGGCCGTGGGGTGCACCTGCGTGCCCCTGGTGGAGAAGGACAGAGACGGACAGAGGAGAGACCAGAGCCTGCAGAGGAGAGACCAGAGCCTGCAGAGGAGAGACCAGAGCCTGCAGAGGAGAGACCAGGGGTCGGATTTATAAAACTGGCGTACGCACAA